CGATGCATTGCCCTTTCAAATCGAGTATACATTGTTCCTCACGTTTTCAGTCTAGTTTTAAACTTGCTTTGGATCTCTTGAATCCTGCGTGCAATTAACGTACCTGGTTCTACAAAGCTGATTATGGCATTCCGTAATTCTTTTTTCTCCGCGCTATTCTTCTTTTTTTCTCATGCCTTATTCTTTCAAGACATTGACGACATTCGATCTTTACATCCTCATTCGAAACATGAGAGGTCCAACTAATTTTCATAGTTTTTTTCAAAAACCAAATTTCAGCAGCGTTAATCGATTTTTTCCCTTTTTTTAGAAATTGTTCAGCAAGATTCAGAGCCGTAAGTTATCACAGGAAAAATGTAACGATTTTACTGTTGGTGAGGATGTTTTTATTCAGGATAAGCATCTTTCGCCATAGCTATTCTTTTTTTGATATCCATATCGTATTTACAACCTGAGGTAATCAAACTTCCAAAATAATTGAAGTTGTTTACTTGTTTCACTTGTTTACCATTAATGATTTATAGAGCAGATAGGGGCGGTTTTGTTTTTACAGAATCATGCACTCTGTTATGTTGATGTTAATTTGCAAGTCTTTTTTTCTCTTTCAAAAACCATTTTGGAAACAATTGTTTTTAATTTTTCAATTGAATCTGCTATAAATGCTCTATCATCAGCATATCTTACATTGTTTATATTCACACCTCTAATGGATATTCCAGGTAGATCTTCTAGCTTTCTCATGATGATTTCACTATAGAGATTGTACAGGTCTAGAAAGAATGCACAGCTTTGCCTAACACCTTTCTTTATTTTGATAAAACTAGTTATCTTGTTACCAACTTTCATCGCTGCTCTTTGTCCCCAATAGAGTTTTTTGATAACTCTCGTGTCTTTTCCGTCAGTGTCCGAATTTCCCAATATTTCCATAATCTCCACGCTATCAAAAGCTTTGGAGTAATCGACAAAACATATAAACAAGTCTTTCTTCGTTTCAATCGCTCGTTCACTGATCATTCGTAGCATGAAGATAATGTAAGGCTTTGTGCAACAATCCTCGACAAAACCCCATTGGAAATTTCTACTTTTATTATCAGAATTTTCAAAAGAAGTTTTGTTAGAAGACTCATTAAGCTGGTTGTTCGATGTTGCATTAGGTTTTGTAGGCAATATTGACTTGGATCTTCAAGACGTTTGCCGCTGTTATAAATCTCATTCAAAATTTCTGTCACTTTTTCAATGCCAAATTCATCAAGGCATTTAATTTCTTCAACAACTATTTCATCTGGACCTATGCTTTATTTGATTTTATTTTGGAAAGAGCGGCACAAAAATGTATTCAGTCCATATTTCAAGTACTTTTTCTTTCTCTAAGATTACTTCACCAAATTTAGTTTTTATTTATCCAAAAACGGTATACAGACAATTAATTAATTAACCCGCGCTGTACAGACAACTAATTAATTAATTTAAATAATAATTTATTACCAATACAACTTTAATAACTCTGTAGTGGTGTGTATATTTTACATGCTGTGGGCGGCTAGATGGTGTGTTAGTTGAGAAGTCGATTCCTGATGCCTCAGTGGCTGGTTTTGAGGGCAGAGAGACGGATGTGACGCGTTGCTTCACGTGCGTTCACGTGCGCTGGATCTCTTTTGTTGGGGCCTCTGAAAAATATTAAGAAAACAATAAAAATAATAATAAGAAGAAGAAATAATAATAAGAAAAAGAATAAAAAAGAGAAATAAAAAAAAATAAAAATAATAATAAGATAATAAGAAGAATAAATAATAATAATAAAAGAAGAAAAATGATAATATTAACCAAAAGAAAAAGAATCAGATCAACAACAATTATAATTATAATGGAAACTCTTTTATTTTGTCTAAAATAATTATCAAAGTATAAAAAATAAATGAAAATAGTCTATGATGCTTGTCATACAATTAAAATGAGTACATCGAGGTATGAAGTCAGTTCATTAACTGTAAAAATGAAAAATTGCGCTGAAATGCAATAGGTAGCACATATGAAGACGATATCGCATTTGCAAAATGGATTAGTCCATTTAAAATCGATTAGTAAAAGATTAGAATATTTAAACACTCTGGCGGCAAAATTTCGAACTAGTTGACAAATATTTTCAAATGTTTCTTACCATCAATAAAATTATTTTGGAGGTTCTCAGATTATTTGGAAAGTTTGAATTCTTTCGACTTGACGAAGTTGCTTTCGAGGCGTACCGCCAACTCGTGTATTTCGATCGCGTTTCCCGCTGGAATGCAATCTCGGGACGGAGCAATTTGGATGAAGGTAAATAAATATAGTGATATACCTATTTTAAATACTGAGAGGTAGTCTTCGTCGTTTGTGCCGGCAAGGATTAAAACGTCTGGAGTGGCCGGTGATTTAATAACTACAATACTACTACTACTACTACTAATACTACTACTACTACTACTGCTACTACTACTACTACTACTACTACTACTACTACTAATAATAATAATAATAATAATAATAATAACAATAATAATAATAAGAAGAAGAAGAAAAGCAATAAGAATATTAATAAGAATAAGATTAATAAGAAAATAAAATTAAAAATAAAGGCAAAGAATATTAAGAAGAATAAGATTAACAACGACGATAATAATAATAACAATAATAATGATATAATAATAGTTATAATAATATTGATAGAAATAGGGACAATCAGTAAAAATAATGAAAATCTTCTGAAAAATCTGCTAGGAAAACCAGTGTTGCTGAAGTTGAGAAGATGGCACTGCTGGGAACAGCGGGTGATATTATCAAAAAAGTACTTGGATGAAACACTCTGGAATTTGATTGAACCCTAGAATCGTCTTCAAACAGTTTCAAAAATTTGTAAAAATTGTTTAGTTCACATAACAATATTGAAACTTTAACATTAAAATATTAGTGTTAATTTTGTGGGAGCAGAATAAAATGTATTTAAACTCCTTCAATGTTGCTTTTAATAAAAGAATTGCAATTAGGCGTCTCATTTAAAATATAGAAGATATAAAAACGTTCAACCGAATGTCCCAAAGTTACAAAATGAACTCACGTCATTTCATACCCTAGCAACTAATAAATACGCTACCCACTATAATACATGTGCAACAATTACAACACAAAAAACCGTCATCGACCAATTTTTTTATTTTATAAAAATTAAAATGGTCAAAATTTTGATTAGAGTTATTCATTGTGAATTTTCGCAATGAGGTTGTATGCTAATCTGGTAAAATAATTAAACTATATAGTAAAGAGAGCAATATTAATCTAAAAGTGTGTTATCAACGCGAAACATGAACAGCAGAGGAAAAACATAAAGACATGATTAATGGCTACGAAAGGAGCACTACATTAAGAGGGATAAGAAGAAATAAGAAATTCAGAATGATGCGGACAGCGTGGCAACATGTCTCAAATACTTTAGTAGCAGGAAGTTTTTTCCAGTTAAATATGAAGTTTCAAAAAGTGAATGATGAAATAGACTTTCAATATTAACTATTATGTTAATCAAGAAACACTATTCAATTGGGCAATAATTTTTCCAAATATGTAAAATAAGCATTTTGTTTTTTACCTGCGCCTATATGTTATTTTAAATTTGACACTGTTGACAAACAACTTCTCGCCGATTAATATGACCAAGAAATCTTTGTAACACATTTGCACCTCTCATTCGAAGTGAAGAAAAATAACTTTTGCACGCTAGTAAAACTTTCAAGTAGATTAGGGTGCACATACGAACACACAATATACTTTTCGGGTCAAAGCATATTTATGAGATGAGAAATCATTTTAACAAGCATTCATACAAACTAACACAGGCAAGCACAGCGCAGAAAGTTGAGCGAGTAACGACAATGTGTTAAATATGGATATACTGCTAAATGAAAAAAAAAAAACTTTCGTATGACTGGTTATTGAGATTTAAAGATGTCGCGACGTGGACGAGTTTGTGCACTTAGTGGCAACACAACCTGAATAGCAAATACAAAAATTTCAACAACAACAACAACACAAACATCAACAGCATAAACAACAACATAAACAACACCTTAAGCAACAAAAAAATAATAATAACAATGACGAAACTAAGCCAACACAATAAACACAGAAGTTTGCGAAAACATTGCCGACATATCCACATAAAGCATACAACATTTTACACAGTCCAGTGCATACAAAATGCATACGACCCAATAAGAACATTTCGCCCGTTAAAAACGGTATGAAAATGAGAAAGTCGTAATTAGCGAATTTTGTTGTTTCTTAGAAAATTCATTTTAAAAAGTAGTTTCCACCAAAAAATATTTATAAAATTTGCAGTTGTGTCAGTTGAAGCCGCGTTTCAGTGCGCTGTTTGTGAGAGAACCATCGAATTAGGCAATCCGATTCCGAGAGTTTGTGTCACGTTCACCAAAAAACTCATATGTCACCATCGTTCCAAGGCTTGGCCATTCTCAAGTTTTTTAAGCCGGGTATTCAAGTTCAAGTTCAAATTCAAAATTCAAATACTTTATTCATTCAACAAAAAGCAGAAAGACACAGGGTATTATTAGAGTTAAATTCCTTTATGGTACATACAGATGTGTAGCCAAGAGGGAGGTTAAAGCTGAGCCACTAATAAGGAAAACTTTAGTTTGGGTTAGCAAGAGTAACATTTGGTAATTTTCATGAAAACTAGCGCTGTTTTTTATAGAAAAGTTGAATAGATAAAGTAGAAAAGCAATAAAAAAAGAGAGCTCCCTCCACAACAAATATCTGGCTAAAACGCTGGGTACATACATTTAAATAACACACACGCACAAGTATGTAAGCTACCTGAATTCGAAGTTATAAAGTGAAGTCGATCTCATTAAATTACCATAATCAAACTTTAATTACGCTGATGCATGTTAATTATTGCCATGTTAATTATTGTCATTATTGCCATCTTTGTGCTGGTTATTGAGACAGAGGCTTCAAGCCGCAACCGCACCCAAGTGCACCAGTACAGAGGCTGCTCCAGTGGTGGGCACGCAGAGTCGTTCGGCATCTTGGAAGCGGCCAGCTACCTCTCCGCCAACCACAGGGTTAAATTTTATTTGAGGAGTGACAGCCAAGAAGATGACGGAAACTGCAAACCATGCTTGATGCATAGACGTTGAAGGAAGAGAATGCTCCAGAGTTACATGAGCTGTTTGCTCTGAGCAGATGAAGTTTGATGATGCTGAGTTTCTAAAAAACTGCTTCCAAAAGTGGCCAATAAAATGCGATATGTGTGCTGTGCCGCTGCGCTTCAACGTAAAGGTGTTTAAATATGTTTTTTGGTTGCAATTTTAAATTTAAGGTATTAATAAATATTTTTTGGATAAAATTTTTATATTTTTCTAGCGTAAATGATTTTCATAATATCTTCCTAGATTAAATTTTGTGCTATATATATATATATATATATATTACAATATTCTATAAATTCTACCAAATCTTTGGCGTTAATATGTTTGTAGTAACAATCGAACAAGATCGCGAGCAGCGACTGCTCCATCTCTCTCGAGAATTAGAAGTTAAAAGGAAGGTAGTTCTAGATTTGTTAGCAAACTACAAACATATTAACGCCATACATTCGGTAGAATTTATAGAATATTGTAAAAATTATGGTCTATTACCAACACATATATATGTATATGTATATATATATATATATATATATATATATATATATATATATATATATATGCATACAGAAACTTATATAATTCTGAGTGTAGCCCATGAAAGAAATAAAATATTTTATGAGCAAATAGAAAGCAGTGAAAGCCCTACCAAATATTAACATAAAAATAAAAATGACTTTCATAGATCGGCATGCTGAATCTGGCGATGATTTGAAAGATGTTAAGAAGAAAACGTGACCCATTCCCTTTTCTGCCTTCTTTGAAGTTTGATTCTTCAAGTTAACCAACATTTGAAACTTAGTGGCAGTTCATCACCGAAGTTTTAAAATAAAATCAATTAAAGGAATTCTCATCCATTCTTATTCATCATATTCTGCATGTTGTGGCGTTGTTATTGATCTCCAATCTATAAAATTGTTTATTTATAGTCAGCAGCCATTTTTTTGAAATAAGCATATTTATATTTTAGTTTTTATATAAATATTTTTTTTATAGTTTTAGTTTTTATATAAATTTTACTATATAGCAAAACAAATTTTCTTTTACAAAAATTATCAAGTAAAAAATTGTTAAGCATGAAATCACAACACACGTGTACCATTATTCATTAAACTACGCCCATTTGCGGAAAATCCATGCATAAGTGAATTTATAAGCCAAGCAGCCAAAACGTGATTGAAAATATTAATGCCTAATTTAATGTTAAGAGGCACTTACTACGATTTCTCAACACGCCATGATGATATTAAATGATTCCACTCTGTCTATACAGATCGGAGTTTCATGCACATGTGTATCCGTGTGTGTGTGTGAGTATTTGTGGTGTGTGTGTGTGTTTGTCAGTGCCTCTATCTGTGTGTATGTTTGTCTTTGTGATTGTTAATAATAGTTGTTATAAATTCAGTTCATGATTGTTTTTAAACGTGACTTATTTATCAGTATTGTCAATGTTTTTTTTCTAACTTTTACACACTTATTTATTTTAAGCCGAAACAAAACATTAACCTCAAGAACCATCTGATATCTTTTTTATTTGATCTCTGCGTGCTTTACAATTATATTATCGAAAAATTATTTTCGAGCGAAGTGGCTTAAATATTTTTTCTAAGCGAAAGTACACATAAAAAAGTAGCACAAATCCATATTTAACACATAAACAAGTAACACATATTTACATTTTGTACATAAACCAGTAACACAAAAATTATACAGATTAAAAATAATTTCATAACTCTCTATAATATAATATATTTTACTTGCATCTTATCATTCATGTTTTGTTGTATATAAAAATGTATCCATGTTATGGTTGTACATAAAAATGGAATGCTTCGTGTTTTTCTGCATTTATTTATAAGTTTAAATTTGACAAAGCGTAAATCGATGTTATGAAATTTCAAACATTTGTAACAATTTGTACTGTAACAACAGTATCTACTGTAACAATTTGTACTGTAACAACTGTATCTACTGTAACAATTTTATATTGCATCTACTGAATCAGTTAATTAAAAAATAATTATTATTTAATTTTAAAAACAACAACAGCAACATCAACAACATCAGCAACAACAATATAAATATGTAATTTTAAAACGTCCCACGCCAACAGATAAGTTGCCTTCGATATCGTATTAAAACGCCAAACAGAACAATTAGTGCATTTAATTTTAGTGAATTTTTTTATTAGATTTACTGTTAGTTGTTTTGTGACACGAAGAGGGCAAGTTTGACGATGTTTGCAGCAGGTAGAGAGGAGCCAGCAATATTGATAGTTAATACTTAATAGTTAATAGGATGAGTGTTTCGAGTGTTGTTCTCGCTCGCTTAAAAATATAATTGAAGATTTGTGTGGATTGAGTTGGAGGAAATTGATAAGATGACAGTCCTCAACAACTCTTCTGCAGGCTCTCGCACTTTTGAGTTATGAGTTGATGTAAAATTTAGAAAGGGCTGTGAAGTCTGCGTAGTGATGATAAAGAACCTCAAATTTTGTAATATTGTTAGGTATTGGTGTGATATGTGTAGTAAAAAGTATAAAACCAAGAACAAAGCAAAGCGATAATAATTGTGAACAAATTTGGATATAATGGTATCAATTTGATACGTATGAACCGAACCAAGAAAGAACAAGACATTCACGGCCGAAGGCCGAACTCAGATTTTATTCTACTGAGTAACATTTAATGGTTAATATTGTCAAACGCAGCTGACTAGCCCAGGCTGAAAAAAGCAACATAATTCTGATTTACAAAAAACTAGTCAGGTTGTCGTGAATATGGATAAAAGCTGTTTTAGGTGAAAAGTTTGACCCGTTGGCGGACTGGAGTGGAGTAAAGTTGGGTGATAAAGAGACGTGTCGAATCCCATAAATTTGATATAGGACGGTAACTTGAAAAAATGGTTGGGTCAAGGTTGGGCTTTTTAAAAAGTGGTGAAATTTGAGCAGTTTTAAATAAGAATAAAAATGTGCTTGAACTGAAAAACGTTTGCAGAGAACATCAGTACAAAATCAGGCGTTGACAAAAGGATGTTTGAAGAGGCAACAGAAGAGGCGTTAGATTGGTGAATGTTATCAATTTTAGATTTTAAATGATTAGCAAAAAAAGTAACAAAATTTTACACTCATCAACAGAATAAAGAGGTTAAGAGTGGGTGAGCAGGAGAATATGAAGTGAACGCTAGAGTTGGCGCCGATTGCCAGATGAGCCGAGCCTTTTCTCATTGAGTCCACTTTTCATCCCATGATTGACATGTTGACAATTTTTCAGCAACTCTCTGTTGATTAAGGCAGATATTGTTAAAGTGAAGGCATCGATGTAAAGTTCAAACAAAGTGAAAGAAGTCCCCTCGGACTTGAATTAAGTCTTGTTCAAATGCTGATGAGTCAAGTTGACAATAAGAGCGACGAAGATAGACGATGGAGGTGGCCTCCCATGTGAAGTTCTGAAAGTGATGAGACTGTGATTCGAGAAGATACAATCTCTGACTACAGTATCGTTGACGATGTGTGTAAGTATGAAGTAGAGGACTTAGACATTTTGAGCAACAGATTAATAGATTTTCTTCTGATAATACGATTTAACGGAAACGGTAATGTTATCAAATTGTAAAACACTTTCCAATTTAATAATTTTGGAAATATTGTATTTTTTCTTCTTCAGCATGATCGCTACTGTCGTAATTTAAAATATTTAATTTCATTATGTTCACTATCTTGATGTTTCATTCTTTTTAAATAAAGATTTTAGATTTCAATTACATTTTTATACATTTAATCAAACACATTGTTACTTTTATTGTTATTTTTATTGTTAACTTTAAAAGTAAAAAAATATTTTTATAGATGGATTTCACAACTTCACAATTTTTCAGTTGAATTTTTAGCTATGTCATAACATACATAATGAAGATAAACTTAGCCAAAAGTATTATTAATTACTTTCCACTATCATGTTTTTATGCTCTTACAGTTTACAATTAAGCACAATTTTTTATGTTGCAAGTAAAAACAAGAAAAACGTAGCAGAGCAACCGAATATTCAAGATCGTCATCACCAGAAGAGGAGAAGAAAACATCATTCAACTCATTCGTCCCCTCATCACATACGCTTCATTAGCTTCCATTTTTTGAATAATTAATGAAACTTTCCATAATACTGAATTATTTCATTTGTACCTCCGCAACAACATCCACACATGCTCATAAACATGCATCACCACAAAAAAACCACACACATTCATTTAATTAACCCTCCGCACATGCACAAATATTCACATACATACACAAATTATTTTTCGTGCAAATTGTCATACTTTTAATCAACTTCAAAATTTTAAAATTTCAAAATTTCAAATAATTACAAGTTTTATATACCTTATCTAATGCAATTCAATTAACATTTCTTCCGATAGAGTTCATTGACGGAAAAAGCAGTTAGCTGGCAATAAAAAACTTCAAAACAACTTCCCAGAAAAAATATTTTTCTCCATATTTTAAAACAAATTTAAATTGAAATCACCATATAAAAATAATTTAGCATCAATTTGTTAATTTATTACGGCATTCAAATGAAAGCCACTTTTCTTGTTTACAAGAAATCTGAATTAACTTTTTAACAGGAAGCAAATGTTTGCTCAGCAGGGAGTGGCCATCAGTTATATTTTGTTTTCTACAAAAACAGAAAATTCACGCATGATATTTTAGCGTTCATGAATATTTAATTAAACATAAAAGTTCAGTTCAAGCTCCACTTTTCAAAATGAAAAAAACATTGACAAATGACTTTCACAAAAAATGATGTCATGATTTTTCACCCAAATATAAGTTGTTTCAAATTTCTAGAGTAAAATCTTGAAAGAGAATTTGCAATGCAACTAAAACTTGTGTGAATAAGTAACAAACGTGCGTGTGGTTCTTCTCATGTTCAATCTGGCTACTACATTAACGAATGTTGTCCGTTGTTAGGTTTGTCTACTGTGAAATTTATATTTTAAAATCAAGTTTGTTACAAACTGATAAATACCCGAACAAATTAATATTTGAAAAAAACTTTGTAAAAACGTGAAAACATAATTTTTGATAGCTGTTAAATGGGACCAATCTGTTTGTTAAGATCTTTAATGAAATAAAATATTTGATAAATAATAAATTCCTTATAAAATAATGACCACCACCAGCAACAACATCAACAGATTTTTGGAGTTTTTACTTTGTATGATAACACATCAAACCAACAAAAAACAACGCTAAAAATTATATAACCAAAATATCATTTATAGCAATTACATAACAGAAACAACAGCAACAATGCATAGCAACAAAAACACAGAGAATGGATAAAGAATATTTTGATTAGTAACATTTGCTCATGTTCATTGAGAGACAACTTGCAAACACTTGTTCTTCAACATACATCATCAGGAATCATAAAAATTTATTCTAGTCTACGAATGATGTTCTTTGTTTCTTTTAATCTTTAAGAAAATCTAACCGCTCAAAATATCAACTACAAACTTGAAAATAAAATTTTTATTTGAAAAAAAAAAATTTTGAATTAAACAATAGTTTTTTAAAATGTATCGATAACGACAAATCTTGGAAAGATAAATGCCTTTTATATATTTGCTATTATTGCTTGGACTGTGGCTGTGTGTCAGTTGGAGTTATAAGCAAAAGCAAATTATTCACTTAAAATTTTCATTGCATTATTTTTATAATCAAATGTTAAAGTAAGTTCATTGATAAAAGGTTTTGCTTACATATTCTTTTAACTTAAATTGTTCAGTT